ACTGTTCCAGAAAGTAGCAAGAATGAGGAGATAAGTGTATTAGAAGTGAGGAGTATTTTGAGGAAGATTCATGGCAATGTGTCTTTCACTCTAATGAACTTTAAAAAAAATTTAAACATTCATGGTATATGTTGATCACACCTGGGATTTTCCACTCCTTTGAGTCTGGACTGCACTCAGGAGGCAAAATATGACAGAATCCTGGTTTTCAAACCTGAGTCTGATATCATCAGATGGGAGTGTTAAGTGCTGATAGGAATGTGGACCAATGAGAGCATACACATACTGTCACTGGGTTTAAAAATAAGAATAGTGCCTTGGGGAAAAGAAGTACATTTATTTTATAAAGATGACAATGACTATAGTCTGCTGATTATATACACTCTATGCCAACTATATACACGATACCCCAGAGAAGTTCACATATGCAGCACCAAGAGATGTGCATACGTACAAGAATTCCCAACCTGTTAAGTGGATACATGATTTGTGCAATCTTTTTACACTAACATTCTCTACTGCAAGGCAAGCTAACTACCACTGCACACATAAATATGGATGAGTCTCAAACACACAATTTTGAGAAAAAACATTTATATTTTATTGGATGAGTCCTAAACAGCCAAAATTAAATAATGTATTGAGAAAACACATGAACATGGATATACATAAATTCGGGCACATGCATAGAATAAAATCAGGTGGGAACATAGATATTTGTTTTGTTTACTACTTTAGCCATTATAATTTGCATCATAATTATCTTTTCATCTTCATAGTATAAATTGTACAGCTTAGCAAAGTAGGATGAAGATCTCATTATGGAGAAAATTTAAAGTATGAAAGAATATTTATTATATATCAAATGTCTTTAAATATCTACTAATGACATTCAGTTAAAATTGTCAATTGTTTTAACCGAGATAACAGAAACAGTTATATTCTTAAAGTAAAGCTACATTATAAAATAACTTTTGGTGATATCCTAGAATGAAATTTCCAGAAGGATCCAACTAAAACACTTGTGGAAAAATTATAGAAAGCAAATTAGTATTTCAGGTTGCAAACTACCAAGTCTATCAAGAAAAAAAAAACTGTTCTGGACTAAATTAGACAAACAAATAAGAAAACAATGAAATGACAATAATACTACATCATTAATATTAAAAGATAGGAAAGAATCATGAATATAAAAATACTATGGCAGAAGTAAATCCAAAATTATCTGGCAGGAAGGTAATGCAGTTTATTTGGTATAGATGTGGGAAACTGCATATTAGTGCACTATCTCAACTGTAACATCTTAAAGATTATCAAATGAATTAAATTGTCAAATTGCCTTATTTTCTGCTTTTCATGAGCATGGCTTTCTCTGGGTCAGTAACTTTGAGAGCAGCTTTCAAATTAAATGGTTATATTTGCTGCTAATTTGGTCTTTTTTTGGTACTGGGGATCGAACTCGGGCCCTTGTGCTTGGCAGGCAGGTGGCATTGATCATTCTTCTTACTAAGCATATACATAACACATTACCTTTTCTGTCATTAGATTTATTTCTTTATTTTTATTTATTTTTGCATGGACTAGTTTTACTGGTTTCTATCATTTGCAATATAAGGAATCCTAACTTACATGTGTGGCATTTGAACACCATGTTCGTTAAGTGGTTATGAGCTTGCTATGTAAAATGTGCCAAGATGCTACACCATCTACAATAGGTCTTTCCAACGACTAAAAAAGTAAATACACATAGTAAATTCAGGTACTAGTATATCAGATAAAGTCATGTTTTTACTATAGTATTTCTACACAAAGATTTTATGCAATTTTTTTGAGGCCACTCAGAATAATTACATTGTTATTGCTGCAAAAAGCACATTGTGAATCATTTTGTTAACAAATACGTCCCTATTTGGAAAGGAAGCAAAGCAAACAGTTTTTGAAAATCAACTGCTTTCGAGCAATAACTCAAATAAGTTTGGGTAACATACTGTGATTAGACTAGCCAGATATCAAAATCTTCCCAAAGATTTGTTAAAATGTTCACCAAGGAAGCAGGAGATACACGAGAGAAATAATGTGATTGCATTTGGATTTGGTAATTTCCAGATGAAGTAGAAAGTAGGGATTATTTAGCATTTTTGGGCAAGAAAGGAACATTTTCTTGAGCATTTAAGGTGTCTTTATTAGCATAACTTAAACCTCCATATACTTACTATTTGTAGAAGAGTAAGAAATTCATCTTTATAGTTTTTTTTTTTTTTGTACAGGGGATCAAACTTGGGTCCTCCCACTTGTGAGGCAGGTGGCAGAACCACTGAGCTAAGTCCCTGGCCCTAGAAATTCATCTTTAATACTGGAATATTATGTCATATATTTGTGTGAGGAACTTCTATAGAAACTATGGTAGGAATGTATAGTTCTTAATTTACAGATTATTAGCTTGACTTTGCTCATTGTAATAATGTAGCTTACTGCCAAATACAAAGAATGACCAAGGTCATTCGTTGAAGGAAAATCTTTGGCAAGTGGCTTCATTAAGAATTTCAGTTCCTATCTTCCAGCACTGCTTGGGGGCTGATTACGAATTTATTTTTTCTGAAAAACCCAACTTGGTGCATTCCTCAGGTGACCTTTGCCAGACATTGAAATCTATTATATGCCAGTGGGCAGGTCCATATTGAGTTTTACTGCTCTAAAACTATGATTAATACATGCTCGCTCATCCCTGAACTAGTAAGCTCGCTTCCCCCCACTAGCTTCTAATTTACATAGCTGTTATGGCCAAGCTTCTGCAGTAATCTGCACAATTCTTTAGCTGGGTCTCTGCCTATCTCACCAGTCCTTTCCCTGAAATGAAGTCTTTTTTGCTTCAACTAATTTTGAGTTACTATTTAAATGAAAATGACCTGACTCCTTTCCTCCAGCAGCAAGACGGTCCTGCCTTTCTTGGTCACTGTGTGTTGGCTGTGCTCACCGTTAGTTGTGCACTGTAGATATTTACACCTGACAAAATTGGAACTGAAAGGGTCAGGGAGCTTGTGACTTGCGAAGCTGCAAACTTAGAGTTATTCATGGATTTGAACCTCAGGTTCTGTTTTTCCTTGACACTGCTCTTTTTATTGATCTGTTGAAATCTAGACTTGTTTTTGAAGCCAATGGAATATGATGTTTCATTTCTGCTGCCTCTGATTCCAAGTCAATGCCATATACCTGTGATATCTCAACTGTGAAATTAACAACTTGGAAGAACACTTAGAAATTTGATGTTCCTTTGACACACAAATACTTTACTTAGAAAAAGTAAAAGCAAAATTGAAATATATGGTATTTTAAGCCTGAATCAATTGAGTCAAAGCAGCTAGTTTTGCTTCCCTAAGACCTAATTTTTGTGATCCATAAAATTTATTCACTAAATATTAAAGGAAGAGATTAGGCCTTCTTGAGCTATGCAATTTCTCAAACATCTTGGATCCCAAAGTGGCAAGTGATATTGATTTATATCACCAAATCTTGACAAAAAATCCTTGCCTAGACGTGGAAGTCATACAGTGATCGCTTTTGGGCTTAGCTAAGTTTTCTTGGCTTTCAAAGTCTATGTTTCACTTCATAGTGAATATAAGTCATTGTATTTCATAGTCACTTTTTCTTTTAATTTTGTTGGTATGATTTGGCATTGGCACAATTAACCAACCCCCTTCCCAAGATTATGACTAAGTAATTGTGATGTTATCTGGGGATTTAGCATTTACTATTCAGACTAATCACCACTTATGACATTAAAAGAAACAAATTTCTGGCTTTTATTATGAATCTACATGTTACTGTACTGGAGTTCTTTTTGAATAGTTATTAAATTCTTATCCTCAAGCCCAAAGATGTTATTGAAAATTCTGATGCTCATTTATTATATATTTTACTATTATCTCTTTCTTGAAACTTCAGATGTTGAAAGATTTCCCTGATATACTGCTTCACGATGTACAAATTGTACAGTTAAAATAAGGAGAACAGAATTACCTATGATCATAAACTGGGTGTTATTTATTAAATAACAGAACTCCAGCTTATAATTGTTTAAAAAATTGGGACATACGCTTTTTAATCTGATAAGAGACCTGAAAGTACATGGCAATTGGAATTGATTTAGATATTATGAATTATGCAGCCACTTTAGTGCCTTGATGGTGAAAAGGCTAGAGTTGTTTGACTTTTTCTACATATTGGACACTTTTTGATCCTAACAAGGCTCCTACAGCTCCAAACACTTTATGTGTTAGCTCTTCTTCTTTTTTTTTCAACCAGGAAAGGAAGACTTTCTAGGTAAACCTCCATAAACTTCATTTGCCCAGAGATAGGTCACATGGTAACACTAATTTAAAGAGAAACTGGAAATTCTGACCACTTGGCCATCAGTGGTTCAGTCTAAATCATCATCGATTACCTTTGACTTCTCATAAGGGAAAGAGAAAGGAAATGTTTCAGAGCGTGAGTGAATGACTAATGCAATAAAGAAACTGAGGAACTTTATCCTCTGATAATTAAAGCAAAATTGTACTCTTTATAAAGTAATTCTCAAATAGCCATCAGTGTAAAGAATGCATACTGTTATCTAATCTTAGCTCACTACTACATGCCATATTTCTGAAAAATCATCTTTCAACAGAGTTTGGTAGAAAATTAAATGGTAAAGCTAAAAAAACCCATAATTAAAAAAAAAGAGTCAATTTTCCTGTAAGAAGAGACTAAAACTATCTTAGTTGATAATGCACATTTACTTTGCAAGATAATTTCAGAGGCTATTCTCAAAATGTCTCAAGTACTTTTAGTTGAGATATTCTGTGTCAAACATCTGCTGCTACATTTGCAATTCTGTTACACTTGCAACACAGACTCTGCTATAACTATAGATTCTGACAGGGTACACCTTCCTCTCAATTCAATGAGTTTGTGGAACGTATATTTGCCTCCACTTTCACATACATTATAAAATAATAGATAATGTGCTTGCTTTGGCAGCACATATGCGAAAATTGGAATTTTATAGAGAAGGTTAGCATGGCCCCTGTGCAAAGATGACACACAAATTTGTGAAGTGTTCAATATTTTTATTTTTAGATAGCTAACTATACATTATTACTGTTGAATTATTTTCTATTGCTAGTGGAGGTATAGTTTTAGCATTAGAAGATATTTACTGCACCTAAATATTTGGTTTGTCTTAGTATTTACAATGATATATATCTCAATAATTAAAAATATTATTGTTGAATTAAGCCTTAAAGTATAGACTTAATGATATCTACTGTGTTTTACCCAACAATAACAGAGTATACATTCTTCTCAGAAGCACCATAGGACTTTCTCCAAAATCGACCACATGCTAAGTGATGCAAAATAATTCAGGGATCCCATATACGTTATCAGATCATACTGCAATGAAACTAGAAATCAGTGGCAACAGAAAACACAGATGCAAACACATGGAGATTAAACAATACCCTTGTGAGTAATCAATGGGTCACAGAAAATTTCAAGAAATTAGACATTCCTAGAATAATACAGTGCCAGTACAACACACCAGGACCTATGGGACACAGTTATTGCAATCCTAAGAGGAAAGTTTATAGCTTAAATGCCCACATCAACAAACAACACAACAAAACATATCAGGTCCAAATAAATAAGGTAATGCTGCACTTCAAGTTCTTAGAAAAATAAGAATAATCTAAGTCCAAATCTAGTATAACAAAGAAAATTATAATGAGCAGAATTAATGAAACTGAGAGTAAAGATAATCAATGAATCAAAGAGCTGTTCCTTTGAAAAAATAAAAACATAAAAACCTATAGCCAATCTTTCCAAAAAAGAGGGAAAAGATCTTAATCAATGCAAATAGAAATGAATAAGGTGAAATTACAAGACACCGCTTAATTCCAGAAGATTATTACTATTTTGAGAATCTATTCTCTAAAGAGAATTCAGAAGAACTAGGTATTTCTAGATGCATATGAATTTCCAAAACTGAACCATGAAGATATAAAAAACCCTGAATAATCCAATGACAGGTAATGAAATTGAAGAAATAATGAAAAAAAAATACTACCAAAAAAAGAAAAGCCCATGTCCTGATGTATCACTGAAGAATTCTGCAAGAACTTTAAGGAAGATCTAATGCTCATAATCCTCAAACTCTTTAATGAATCTGCAAATGAAGGTATACTCCCAAAGTCATTCATGGAACTTAATAGTTGATTAATTCTGAAACCAGCAAGGGACACACACACACACGCACTAAAGAGAACTACAAGCAAATCTCTTTAGTAAATACAGATGTGAGAACCTCAACAAGATCCTGACCAACAGAATGGAACAAATCATCAAAAGGATCATACATCATTAACATACAGGATTCATCACAGGGATGTAGGAATAGTTCAACACATAATAATTAACAAATACAGTACATTACATAAGTAACAAGGACAAATATCACATGATCATCTCACTTGATGCAGATAAAACCATTGATAAAACTCAGTATCCTTTTCCATGTTATACAAAACCTTAAAGATAATAGATAAGAAGGGCCTCATATCAATTTGACAAAAGCCACTTATGAAACACTACAGCCAAGATCATATTAAATAAGGAATAGCTGAAAACTTTCCCTCTAAAATCATGTATAAGGCAAAGATGTCTGCTATCAACACTCCTGTTCAATATAGTTCTTAAAACCTTAGCCAGAGCAATCAAGCAAGAGAAAGAAATAAAAGGATATATATAGGAAAGGAAGAAGTCCAATGATCATTATTTGCAGATGATATAATCCTCCACATAAAAGACCCATCAAAAGTCTCCTAGAACTAATATCCAAATTCAGGAGCATAACAGGATATAAAGTCAACACACACATACACACACACACACACACACACACACACACACACACACAAATCAATACAAGTCAATAATATTCCTAAATACCAATAATGAACTTACCAAGAAAGAAATGAGGAAAAATACCCTTCACAAATAACATCAAGAAAAATTAAATACTGATAAATTAGCCTAATTAAGAAAATGGAAGCGCTCTAAAGTAAAAATTATAGTTCTCTGCAAGAGGGTATCAAAGAGGACATCAGAATATGAAAAATATACTATTTTTCCTGGATAGGCAGAACCAATAAAATAAAAATGTCCATAATTCCAAAACTAATATACAAATTTAACACAGTCCCAGTCAAAATACCAAATGATTCATATAGAACTGGAAGGGATCCAGAATGGCAAAAGCAATGCAGCTCAATACGAACAAATCAGGAGGTATCACAATCCCAGGCATCAAGTTATGTTACAAAGCTACGGTGATGAAAGCAATGTGGTCATGAAAAAAACAAAACAAAACAAAACAAAAAAACTAAACTAAAGGAACAGTCATGTGGATCAATGGAACAGAATAGAGGCTGGATAAACAACTCCGGGCACATTCAGCTCTCCAATTTTTGACAAATGGGCCAAAAATTTATGCTGGAGGAAATAAAGCCCCTAAAATTTTTTGAAAGAGAAGACTGGTTATCCATATGGAGATGATGAAATATAACCAACATGTCTCACTAATATGTCATATATTAAACTAAAATAAAAATGAATCTAAGATCTAAATACTAAAACAGAAACAATCTGCTGGAAGGTACAACAGATAAAACCCATGAAAACATAGGAGTAGCTAAGGACCTTCTGAACAGAATGCCAATTGCACAAGAAATAATACCAAGATTCAACAAACACTTTAGTCCCATAGTAAATTACAAAGCTCCTGCCCAGCAAAGAAAGAACAATTCTATGTTATTTGAAGAGACAAACTATGGGATGGGAAACACTTTTTGTCAGCTATTCCTCAGACAGGAGTAATATTTATAATATATAAGGAACTAAAAAATATTTCACCCAGAATAAAAGGATCAATAAAAGTGGCTGCATAATTCATAATATCTAAATCTTGGAAACGGCCTAGATGCCTGTTAACTGATGAATAAATAAAGAAATTGTGTTTTTTACATACAATGGAGTGCTACTCTGCCATAAAGAAGGGTAAATTTGAGACATTTCTAAGCAAATAAATGCATTTTGAGACCATACTTTTAAGTAAAATAAATTGGACACACACGTGTAAATATCCCATTGCCTCTCTGGTGTGAGAAACTGAAAGGGTCAATAAGGACCAAAGTGGATTACAGACACTGGGCAGTGTACAGAAAATGTTCATATGGGAAGAAAAACAAAGGAGGGGTAGGGGAGAGGAAAGGAAGAGGGTAACGGAGAGAATGAAAGAATGAAAATGAGCAACGGAAGTGATCAGATAATTACCAGAAGTAGAAACACAAATGGCCAATAAATACATGAAAAAATGCTCAACATCTCTGGCAGTTAGAGCAATGCAAAGAAAACAATACCGAGATTCCATTTGACGCTAGATAAATAATGCCTATCATCAAGAAATCAAATAACAAATGCTGGCAAGGCTGCAGGGAAAAAGGAGCCCTACCATGTTGTTGGTGGAAATGTCATCCTTAGGGAAGTCAGTATGAAGATTCCTTAAAACACTAAAACTAAAATTCCATCCAATCCACCGATTCCCCTTCTAGGTATCTTCCTAAAGAGTTAAAGACATTATATTAGAGTGATCTATATTTATATCGATATCTTCTATCTATCCATCTATCTATCTAAAGCTGTGTTTATAGCTATATACTTCATAATAGCTGAATCTTGGAGGTGACCTAGATGATTGGATCAATAAAATGTGGTATTTATGCACCATGAAGCATTGCTGTGCCACAGAGAATAAACTTCAAATTGGGAGTGGTGGCACACACTTGTAATCCCAGCACTCAGGAAGCTGAGGCAGGAGAATCTCTATTAGTTCTAGATCAGTCTGGGCTGCACAGTGAGTTTAAGCAGCCTGAATGATACTGTGAGACTCTGTCTAATAATCATAACAAAAAGGCCAGGGATTTGTCTCAGTGGTTTTGCCACCTGCCTCATAAGCACAAGGGCCCAAGTTCGATCACAGGTAAAAAAACAAAAAACAAACAAAAAAAATGTAAATTAAAAAAAAGAACAACAATAAACCAGTAACTTGCAGGAAAATGGATGTGCCTTGAGACCATAATGTTTAGTGAAATGAATCAGATGCAGAACTTTAAAAATGGATGGTTCCTCATATGAGGAACCTAAAATATAAATAAAGTGTAAAGTAAAGCTAGATAATAGGCAGAGAGATGTTTAGCAAATAGGACAAAGACCAAATGATGGAGGAAGTGGGGAGAGGGGAAAGAAGGTGTTAAAAAAGGATTAAGTTATGTTATGTACGCATACCCACTCCCCATAAGGAATGCAAGCAATGTATTACAAACAGGTACATCTAAAATATAAACTAAAAAAGAATAGTAGATAATATTTATTCAACAGTTACCATATGACGGGGATGGTATCAGCTTATTGCATATTCACAGAGACATGTAGTAGGCCCTTTTGGTGCTTATTTTGCATAGTTAGGCAACTGAGGCATATTGATTTAGACAGATAGTGAAAGATCCCGGTTTCAAATTGAGAATTCTGGCTCTAGAGCCCAAGATTTAAACCACCTCCTAATTGGTATACTTTTAATTTATATATGTTTTATTCTGTTTCTTATTCTATAAGCTCCTTGAAGGTAGTATACCTTGTTTGCATTATAGCCAATTTATTTACACATCCAATAAAGTCCACTTGTATCTTACTTTCAGAAGTCATTGACTTGTAATTGGCATGCATATTTATTTAATTAATTTATTTGGAAAGCTTTCTTTCTTCTTTTTTTTTCTTCTTGGTACCATGGATCAAACTCAGGACCTTGTGCTTGTGACGCAGGTGTGGTGCTACTGAGCTAAATCCCTAGTCCTGGAAAGCTTTCTTATTTGTTATAATTTTAGATGTTGTGCAAGTTTTATTAATTATACAAATAATTCCCAATACTCTTTATTTAGATTCTCCAAAAATTAACATTTTTTTTCCTCATTGAGTTTATTGGTACATTTTAGGGATACAGCACAGTTACATTTGTTA